GTGACTGCATTATAATTACTATTGCATGCTAAACCATCCCAATCAAGAAAACGTAACGAGGATTGCTTCTGTTTCTTGCAAGTCTATTCCAGAACTGACAGGTAAGACATCGACGGTTAGTGGCCCACTAACTCTACCGTCGCTGGTCTCGTACGTCTGACCTCCCCAGGTCAGATTACTGGTGTCGGAGGCATAGCTACAGATAGCTTTAGCATCCAGGCCGCAACGACGATGAAATCAGCTCATACCCAATTTTCAGCGCCTTCACGCTCGTATTATTAGGAGGATATCCGAGACCCGCGAAAGAGAAATCGATGTGAGTCGAATTCCTTGCACCAGCGCCGGAAAAGTACGCGACCGTGTTTATGAAGACAGCTTTTGAGAGGCTTCCATGCTCAAAAAATGCATAGCCCGATACATTATCTTCATCGATAGAGATTTCGACTGCCTGTGTGGTCCCAGATGACGCGATAGCCTCTGCGACGATGATAGCCGCATAGTATGCTGGCTGTACGTGTGGTGCCAGCGGTGTAATCGGGGAACCGTCAAGAATTGAGTAGTTAAGCGTCAAGGGTTGAATCTGCTCATAAGGAGATTGAGTAACGCTGCATTGACTCAGCTGAGTACTCACCAAATTGTACTTGTAACCAATGCCCTCATGAAAGTGTATGCGACTAATACCAACTTGTGTGGCATACAAAGTATAGTCAAGTAACCAGAGGGCGGCGCCGGCTGTATTGCTGACATCTGGTAAAAAGGACGATCACATGTAAGTCATTGCGACCACTGTTCATGTGGTCGACCTTACTAGGTGCACCATGGCAACTGATACCTATGAACAAGTTATCAAGTCTAGTGCTGTCGAACAATTATCAGACAATAACTTACTGTTTGTCTCCCCGAGGATGTACTTCAACCCGTTAGCCAAGGTCGCTTCAATATCCGGGATAAACGCGGATAAATTACCACGGATATAGTCTTTGGTCATTAAGTCCTGCAGCGCAGCTCCGCTGCCAGTACAGAATGAGCCACTATAATGGTGCTGCGAAATGCTAACCATGGAATTCAGCACGCCATCCACATTCTGAGGTTGTGCTCGACATACGTCTCGATCAGTTGACCTGCAGGAGATTCAAGGATGCCCAGATTAAATATAGCTTGCGGAGAGAAACCGCTAAGGTTGTTATGAGAAGACCCAGCGAAAGCGGCTCCGATTAATTTTGTGCAAGATAACTTGGAAAGGTTGGCTGTTATCGATACGTTATATGCAAATTCCTCCCACCTTTATACCAGTCAGCACTAATGAGGAAGTCGTCGTCATAAACTTACTCAGAGACATATTCTTGTACATTCCAGCTGCTGTTACGGCCCTCATTGTCGTAGTAGAGATCAGCCTCGTTGCCGACTTCGATAAACTTCAGAGTAATATGTTTCTCTAGGACAGCAGGGGAAGAAAATGCGTTCATGAGCGCGACAGTTTCGAGGTAGGCTGCCGTAAGGTTGTATTCCCTCAAGTTCAAGCCCCAGTGAACTTCCGTCCCTGGAAGTAAAGCAAATTAGTCGCTTGAAAGCCTCTAAAAAGTTAGATTACCGTTGGGAAGATGAGAGATGATATCATAGAAGCCTTGCCCAACAGTGATATTAGTGGCTTCTGGGTATGGCGTGATTGTGCTCGAAGGAGGGAAAATATCTTCTTCGTACTATGCACCAGCTAAACATACGAACTGATTCAACATCGAAAGAAATTTATTTACCTCAACGTCATAGCTAAAATCAGTATGGTCCTCCGAGTCAGCACCTATTCTTACGAAGGGAGGAGTATTCGTAATTTGGATAAAGTTATCAAGGACGTTGTTGAAAAATGAATTCGGTTCTGTCGTGCCCGCCCAATCGTTCCATCTATCTTGCTCGATTGAAAGCGAAACGAGGTTCCCCTTGAGTGGTGCTGCTCCCAAGGGCGCAGTAAGAGGGATTGTGACCTCTATTGCCGAGACGATTGGAACGACAAGCGTGATGAAGTGGGTACCCCACAGTCATAAATCGCGGCATGAGGGGTATCTTCTTGGTTCTGGTGCAAGCCTAGAGTGCGACTCCGAGATCCTCTATACTGTTGTAGGCGGGATGAAGATACGATTGGCCGTCTTATGACTGGTAAGGTGTCGTGGAATCTGTACAAAAGTGAAAAATGAATCGTGCATCACGATGAGGACGCGAGCAGGGTGCCAGGCTTCGAAATTTATTGCAATTAGCGGGGATTACGAGACCACGTCATAGCTCTGTTAAGAAAGAAAAGGGCGATAACATCACCCGCCGCATTTGCTACGACTGAAACTTTGATTCGATTCACGATCAGTGGCAATTCCATCAGGAAACGCACTGCCGAGCGAAGTGACTTGTACTAGTAGCAGCGCGTAGCACACTGTGCTTCTTTTGAATCGACGGTAGCAGCTTCAAGTTGTAACAGCCAGTAATAGGTATGGAAAGCCTAACAGCCGCGCTCCTTTAGGCTATGTACGGACTGGCAAAATTCGCCGAATCAAAATTCAACAAATCAATATTTGGTGTCATGTGACACACAAAGGGTGATCCCGGATTCCTTCTTTACACCACACGACGATATGGTACATAGATAATACCATGGATGCCATCACGCGACAAACACAGGCTTTGTGGACGCAAAACAACCAAGATCTCTATTGGCGTCGCTACTTCATACTTCTGACCTCAATTATTGCTCATATCTCAGCCTTATACTACCAATTATTCCTTACTCCACGCACTAGCATCCCATACCACACTTCAGCCTTGACCGGTCAAGCTTGGGTCCTTGAACTGATGGCTGGTCACCCCGACTGAATCAGAAACAATCTAGGTGTCAGCTTGGGAACATTTGAAGAGCTGCTGGAAATTCTACAGACCAATGGATTTACGCTATCTTGCAATGGTGTAACGGTTGAGGAACAGCTGGCCATTTTCTTGTATATGTGTGTCACCGGTGTAGAGACTCGCGCGTCTCAATGACGAATATCCGGCCTTTAACCATACATTCCTATATGTTACAGCTCTACTCCTAAGGACCAGTCTCGCGCGAACTCGCGCGCACTTAGGCGCGCCTTACCTATGCACGCGCTATGCGCGCTTCGCGCGCCTCCTCATAGGTCTTCACGCTATCGTCCGTCCATCCGTCCCATGTCCTTACTGATTCGCTGGTGCGTTATTTCTATCTTATCCATTGAACTAATAAAATCTTCGGTCCGACATCCGCGCTACTTATGGAAAGTTTATTTAAACTTAGTTATAATTAGAGTTGATATGGTTACTCGGTTTGGGAGCGCGCTCGGAAGCGTGCCTTCTCCATTCTTAAATACAGAAGGGTTTCCTTTGGTTCGGGGACTTACTTTTCCCTTATCTTTGTGTACTGGAAAGTGAATAGATCACCTCCCCACTTGTTATCTGATCATATCCTCCTGTCAATCCTCCACCTTTGCACTCACTCCTCAGTAAGATCTTGCCTCTAACGCTTTAGGCGCGCCTTCGCTTCGCGCGCGCGCATTCTCGGACCTCCCGCTCACGCGCGCATCTCGCGCCTATTAGCGCCCGCCTAGCTCACAGAGTTTCCCTCCACTTTATTTCGAGGAACTTCTCTCAGTGGTTGTCCTTTGGGTCGAGTCGTTGTCTCGTATCCCGGTCTTGCTGTTGAGCACCCCTTTTGTTTTAAGTGTTTTCACGTATAGTCAAGATTCCTCATCTACACCGGTCTCTCAACTCGCCATGTTGGTGAGTGCTTCCAACAGTCCTCTGACACGATCTCAAGGTAAGTAAACTACTTATTCAATAATATATACTAATTCTTGCCATTATCAGGTACTTCAAGCGCATACTAGTGTTCTTCTCCAGCGACCCTTTCTACTCCACTCAAATTCAATTCCCAACAAGCCTTTCCCCAATCCCTTCATCAATTCGTGATGACCCTCGCTTTTGATTTTTTGACAAATGCATCGGTGCTATTGATGGAATGCACATCCGAGCATTTGCATCGCTTCCTGACCAAGCCTTCATGCGTAATCGAAAAGGTTTCATTTCTCAAAATTGTCTTTTTGTATGCGATTTCGATTTCTTATTTATTTACTCACTTTGTGGCTGTGATGGCTCATCTGCCGATGCTGCGCTTTGGAATGATGCCCGCCGACATGACTTACAGATGCCTGATGGAAGATATCTCCTCGCAGATGCAGGATTTGGAACGTGTGATGCACTACTGGTTCCTTACAGAGGTGTGCGTTATCATCTCAAAGAGTGGTGTCAGGCATCTCTTATGTTCGTTTTTTTTTCTTCATTTGTAACTACATCTGACGCACATCCAAGCCCACAAAATGCAAAGGAACTCTTCAACCTTCGACATGCCTCACTTCACAACATTGTCGAACACATTTTTGAAGTAATGAAGCACCAATGGCGCATCTTGCAACTCCCTCCTGAATACACCATGGATATCCAAGCGCTGGTACCAATGGCACTCTGCGCATTGCACAACTTCATCCGCCGCTGCGACCCTGATATCCTCGAGCAGGATTTCTTGCGTGGCGAGGATCACGATCCCATACTTACTGATGATGACATGGGTGATGTAGCGGTGCAGGGGGAGCTGTCTGATGGACCTGCAGGTGCCACAGAGAGGAGAAGAGCTGATGATCGTCGTGATGAGATAGCTGCTGCAATGTGGGCAGATTATGTACAAGAACGGGCACGTCGTGGACTAGCAGTACCTGCACCAATGTAGTTACATACCTACCATATACCTAAATTTCATGTTGGTCTGGCTCTCACCCTTCTTGTACTCAAGGGGACAATTGAATAGGATAATACATGGGTTCTTGATTCATCAGCGCGTGTTTAGGTGGGATAACAAACAAAGAGCAAGCAACATAAAAAGAGCGAGCAACATAAGTCTTGAAAAGTAAAAGTAAATGCTACTATTCTACTAATTGTTTGCACGAAGGCTAGAGAGCTTCCTTTGCAACCATAAGACCCTGTATTCTGCACTACTAATATTGGAAAATACTACCGCCTCATTCAAGTTTGATGATAAGTAGTCCATGAGGATCATGACATCATCCGCAGTCAAACCATCTGTCTGAGTAAGCAGACTGACCGCATGCCCAAGGTCAGTGGCAGGAGGACGGTCAGATGGAGAAATGGTCAACCCTCGAATGATTTGAGGAAGACTCCCTGCAATTGATGTAAGTGCCGTGCTACCCTCCTGCTGGGCTGTTGCAGTTACTGAGGGAGGCCAGTTCTGCTTAGAGCAGGATTGGTCTCCTTCACTGAGTGCACTGGATTTGCGCTTGCTCTGGCTGATACTGGTCAGCCCTGAGCCTGAGTCACTTGTAGCAGCATAGTATGATGGTACAGTTGAGGAGGAGGATGGTGACAAGAGGTTGACACCTGGTCCTGTCACCGGCGCTGGTGGAGGACCCATGGTGATCTCATTGGCGGTGGAGCCGGTGTAGAAACAACTATACTGAGAGGAACAAATGATGCTCCTGACTGTATCTGTAAATAGTTGTAAGGTCGCGCGTTGCCTAGTCTGCGTTACTTGAGGAGACAAGTGCGTTTGACCCTAAAGGGGAAGCGAGTGCAGCAAAGATCTAGAGGTACACACTGAAGTGAGGTGCGGGAAAGCGCACGCGCGTGCAGAAACAATAGAGAGGTTAGACTTAAGTGATAATATGATGCAAGATAAGAGAAAAGAGATGTGAAGTATAGACAAAATGGATTTCTACTATGTTCTTCTAGGTAGATAGTGGGTGGAAAGTAAAGTAAGGTAAGGTAAGTGGTAAAAATGGAAAGTAAGTAGTACTATGTACTGCTGGCGCTTATATAGCGCACCTAAGCGCTGTAATGCGGAGCCGAAGCGCTACCGAGTAGGTATGTAAAGATATATATGAGTGAGAATCCATGATAAAAATAAAGATGGAACAATATGCAAATGAGAGAAATAGAAATATACGCACTAGAGGGCTTGGTGGACAGTGGATGGATGCTTCTGGATGGCTGGCACTATAGGGTGCTCAAGCGCGGGAACGCGTGTGCACGCGTATACATCATGAAGCGCGGGAATGGCGCGCATTGCATGGGAAAGCTGCGCCTCATAGTGGAATACCTGTGGATAGCACACAGAGTGATGCTGCAAGTTTGTGCTATGTACTCCTAGTGTAACGCGCCATATCACACCATGAGAGGCATGAGTCTCTACACTGGTAGGAGTAGATGGTGGGGGAAGGGCATGCCGGTGCGCAGGCTCCATTCCAGATGTGGCAGTGGGAGTGGATGATTGGGGAAGTAGGGGCCAGTACCCACCAGGAGGCCCCATTGCAGAAGAGGATGACTCTGATGGGGAAGGACCGGCAACAGCCTGAGTCCTGGCCTTTGGCTGATGGGTAGTGTACTTTCCCTTGGCAGAGATAAGCTCCTGGGGAATCATCTGGTCAAGAGTGCTGAAGTGCGGGAACCCTTTGGTCTTGTACGGTGCTGCACCAGGATGGCCCTAAGGTTAAAGAAAATAAGCAGACTATTTGTTTGATATGGTAGTACTACATACCTTGGCATATCTGTCCCAAGTATCTCCATGTTCATCTGTAATTCCAGCACCGTGTTCATCACTCCATGAAAAGCCGGATGTCTTCTTGATGTTGACAACAACACCATAAGCTGACTTGAGCTACAGATATATAACATTAGAAATAAATAGAAAGTATTAGATTCTGTTTAAACATACATTGCCCCACTTCGTCTTGCAGGAATCAGCAGTCTTTTCTCCGCCATGCTGGTGGGTGAAGGTCTTCTTGATATGTTCAGCGGCTCCTTGAAAAGTGGTCATTTTGAAGGTTAGACCATCACCAGCCCCAGATTTGTTACTGGAGAGGTAATCAATCAAGGCCCTTTCTTCATCTATCGTCCAATGTGAGGGGATTTTCCTTGTTCTTTCTAACATTGAGCCTTGAATGTTGGCAGATCCTTGGGATCGGCGGGAATGAGTAGATTCAACAGAAGTATCACTGAGAGACATGGTGGTAGATCTAGTTCTGGCTCTGAAAGAGTATGGATCTCTGTGAGTATATCTAGCCATCATCATATAGACTTGTAATAACGCGCTAGGCAAGGAATCCGGGATCGCCCTTTGTGTGTCACATGACACCAAACATTGATTTGTTGAATTTTGATTTGGCGAATTTTGCCAGTCCGTACATAGCCTTAGTCAGTGTCATGCATCTACATACAAATGGTATGAGGACCTCGTACACCTCTGAGTCATCCGTTGAATATCAAGAACATCAATCGTATATACAAGGACTGTAGTATTTCACTCGATTCGGCACCACCTGTGACATGTGACACACTACATCATTTCGTCACCTCAGCATTTGAGGGTATGACACATGACAATGCAGAAATTTTCGGCACAAGTTAATTTCGACCATGTCAATTTCGACTGCACAACAGCAAGACAGAGCATACTGAGATAAAGACAAAAGCATAGAATTTTCTGCCGTCTGTGACACTTTATAGGAATTCGTCAATCCTTGATGTGACCCGTGACAAGCGTCAAATTTCGACCTGGCAGAATGGCTTGTGACATGTGACAGATGAATCAAGTGAAATACTACAGTATAGCCCCAAGATATGATACAGCAAACTAAATACCACTCATATATCAGCATCGTCTGTGCTGCCACTGGCATCTGGCGGACCGGACCCAGGGACCCACCGAAAGGAACAGTGCCAGTGATGAAGTGGACAAAATATTGGTGCTGTATTACTGACTTGTGAATCTGACTCAGTATAAAAGGCTAATCGAAGACGATGAACTTGTGGTGTTGATTAACATTAACATTGATGTTGTTGTGTCTCGGGACCATGTCTTTGTGCAATTAATATTTGAGCTCCACCATGCCATTCCCAACACTGCAAATGTCATGTGCAAATGCCCAGTGCACATCAGCAACTGCTGATGTGACTTAGACAAATACGGATGACAGATGAGAGCAGGAAGAGGGAAGAAGGTGGGGAGGATAACAAGGGAGAGGAGATGGATGAGACGGGCAGGAAGGAAGACATTGAGTAATGTGAATGTTTGAATTTATTTGAATATGATTGACTGTGCCTCGTTTTGCTTGTGGTCCACTAAGCTCGAGTTTGAGTAGTGTAGGGAGCTCGGGATACAATCCGCTGTAGAGACTCGTGCATCTCATAGTGTGATATGGCGCTTTACACTAGGGAGTATACAGCACCAACTCGCAGCATCACTCTGTGTACCATCCACAGTGATTCCTATATGACGCGCAGCTTTCCCGCGCAACGCGCGCCATGCGCGCACCATTCCCGCGCTTCACGATGTATACGCGCGCCCTATAGCGCCAGCCATCCAGATGCATCCATCCACTGTCCACCAAGCTCCCTAGTGCGTATATTTCCATTTCCTTTATTAGCATAGTTCCACCTTTATTTTTATCATAGTTTCTCACTCATATATATATTTACATACCTACTCGGTAGCGCTTCGGCTCCGCATGAGCGTGCTTAGGCGCGCTATATAAGCGCCAGCAGTACATACTATTATTTACCTTACTTTTCACCCAACTTTACCTAGTACTTACTACTTAGAAAGTCGCAGTAGAAATCTATTCATTAGCACAACACATCTCACATCCTTTATCTTGCTTATATCTTCACATAAGTTTAGTCTCTCTTATTTCCGCTTACACGCGCGCGCTTTCCCGCGCTTCGCGCTAATACGCGCGCGCATTCCCGCGCCTTCGTACCTTGCGTGCACCTGCGCTTTCTCGCGCTTCGCTGAAGCGCGTACCTCTAGATCTCCGCTGCACCTGCTTCCCCTTTAGGGTCGAATGCACTTGCCATCTCAAGTATCGCAGACTAGGCAACGCACGACCTACAACTTTTTAGATACAGTCAGGAGCATTTCTTTGTTCCTCTCAGTATTGTTGTTTCTACACCGCGTGATGGAGAACTTGGAGTGATTGTAAGACCTATTAAATATTTTCGAAAACATCAGATGTTTGACTCACTGAGTTATAGTGCAGCTTCTGTGGTGTCAAGAGCATTGTCGCCAGTCTGCATTCTCTTGGGTGCAAAACTATGGGATGGAGTGTCAGAAATTTCTCAGGACAATTGTAAGGACTTATAATACATTTTAAGGGGATATTTTCACACACTGTATTTTAAGACGTGGTAATGATGGAGATAATCTTACATGGCACCTTGAAAGGCCTTCGTTACCACCTTATAATGCCTTAAAATAGTGTCGCTGATGGGAAATATCATGTAAGCGTTGTAAGGTCTTGAAAGGGCTGCTGTAACAATAGAAGATAAAATTAGATTTCCAAGGTCCCAGATGGTATTTCAACGGTATTCTAATCTTTATTTCTATTATCTAATCTTCACCGTTGTTATCTATTGCTATCTGATCATATTGTAACTATCTAATTGTATTGTAATCTCAACCTGTATTATCTAAGCTACCTATTACTATTTCAAGTTTATTTCAAGTTAATCTATTGTACTTGGTAGGTTTCGAACACTTGTCATTAGAGTCTTTATAGTACTAATTCAAAGTACTCACTTGCATAGTTACTGCTAGGTTATTAGGGCTTAGAATACATTGAAACTTGCTTGAATATATTGTGTCTTTGAGTACCTTATAAGGTTACTAGTAAGGCTATCAGAATTTCGATGAAAAAAACACACAATCAATTCAACGTTCATATATAAACGAGTTACAAAATACAGCAGAGCATAAGACTACACGACAGCATGCAAGGTAAGATTAAATCAACGCTTTCCCCTCCCTCTTCCCCTTGGCTTACTAACAACTGTCTTGCTGCCACCATGTCGAGTTATACGTCCAACTGCTTCAGGCTCGGGCGCCACACTACGAGTTGCCGATGCACTCGGTTCGACGATAGGGCCACTGCCCAATGACAACTGACTGATACCCATCTGTACCTGCGCTGTTGCAGACACAGATTGAGAATTGTTGATGGAAATAGAGGCATGGGAGATGACGTTGACAACTGCTGAACTAGTGGGAATCAAAGCAGGAGAATCGAGTGCGTCGAGGAGGTCATCCTCCCATGTTCGAGCTTGAGTAATGGAAGGGACGTCGTTGGAAGTTGTTGGTAAGCTTTTGCTGGTGATATTGAAGACTTCTTTATTGAAATAATCCATGATGCCACAGGCCCACGGAGTGCGCTTGAACAAGCACTCCAAATAGAAATCGTAGTCAGCTTGGTAGTTTATCTTCATCTCTGCACCAGTCGCAGTGAACTCTGGATCATGCGTCAACAAGAAACACTGTAGATGAGGAATCTTGACTATACGTGAAAACACTTAAAACAAAAGGGTGCTCAACAGCAAGACCGGGATACGAGACAACGACTCGACCCAAGGGACAACCACTGAGAGAAGTTCCTTGAAATAAAGTGGAGGGAAACTCTATGAGCTAGGCAGGTGCTAACAGGCGCGAGAAGATAACGCACGTGAAGGCGCGCGTACATGAGGCAAAGGCGCGCGAGATGTGCGCGTGAGCGGGAGGTTCGAGAATGCGCGCACGCGAAGCGAAGGCGCACCTTGAGCGTTAAGGGAAAGGTCCTATTGAGGAGTGAATGCCCAGATGGATGATTGACAGGAGAATAAGATCTTATAACAAGTGAGGAGGTGATCTATACACTTTCCAGTACACAAAGATAAGGGGAAAGTAAGTACCAGAACCAAAGGAAACCCTTCTGTATTTAAGAATGGAGATTGCGCTAAGCGGCGCGCTTCCGAGCGCGCTCCCAAACCGAGTAACCATATCAACTCTAATTATAACTAAGTTTAAATAGACTTTCTATATGTAGCGCGGACGTCGGACCGAAGATTTTATTAGTTCAATGGACAAGATAGGAATAATGCACCAGCGAATCAGTAAGGACATGGGACGAATGGACGGACAATAGCATGAAGACCTAGGAGAAGGCGCGCTTCGCGTGCATAGCGCATGCGCAGGTAAGGCGCGCCTAAGTGCGCGCGAGTACGGATAAGGCGCGCGCGAGTGCGCGCGAGACTGGTCCTTAGGATTAGAGCTGTAGCATATAGGAATGTATGGGTAAAGGCTGGATATTCGGCATTGAGACGCGCGAGTCTCTACAACACGCCTATGTACTCAAGTAATAAGTAGTGTAAAACTGTTAATATATTGTTGGACTTACCATAACCGCAGCACCTGCAATTAAGCCTTCGGTCACGCATTGAGCGTTGCAGCGCTGCCCCCTAGCCTTCTGGCCCTTCGTCTTCCTGGAAAGTATCTTCTTTCCGTAGATTTCAACTCGAATGATCTGGCGTGACATTGTCAGTACACCAGTCTCTAAACATAACCGAATTACTTACTTTGACTAGTACAGGGTTCTTGAGGAATTCATTGGCCACCATAGCGTCCGGCCTCGCAAACAGAACAGGTGCGAGCTGAATGTACTCACCCTCACCATTCTTCTTCAGCAAACACAGAAGGTCGTGATCATCTCGCTTTCTGGCATCCATCTGAGACGAAAACAGAGTGGGGTCAAACTTGAGCATTGAGAAAATGAGACTTGCGCAGCTCTTGATGGCGTGCACGATATTGGACCGCTCGGCACTGACTGCAGCACGAAACTGAAAAGACGTATTGTGTAAGTAGTTTGTAAGACAGAAAAAGGTGAAGAACAAACCAGAGAATCAAACGACAAATACTTCTCCATAGACTTATGCAAGTCCTTGGACACACACTGATATAACTCTGCCATGGCGCCATTGAGCTTTGCCTCGGGAGATGCCCAACACGTAGGACTACGTGGGTCATTGTCAGGCTGTGGTGTCGTTGGGAAGACACCAGGGATGACCCAGAAATGGTAGAATAGTGTATACTTCTTGCCTTCAGCAGTGATTTTGGTGTCGAGTGCCGATGTCTTCTTGAGCGCATGGTTACGGCTGCAGGCAGGCACAGTAGCTGAGAGCGCGAGGTAGTCCTTCTTGAGAGCCTTAAACTCAACTTGTAGCGAGTTGTATGCCTGCTGCGCCGTTTTGAGTGCCTAGATACATCGATATTACATTAGTACTAGTAGTAGGATAACAAAATGATTGTACTTGCCTTGCGAACCTCGTGCATGGGTGCTTCCAGTTGAGGAACAGAGAGGATCGTCCTAAATATCTCGAGCTCATTGCCACTTGAGTCTTCACCATCTGATGCTTCAGTGTTACTGACAGCATCAATATCGGCCTCAAAGTTCTCGCTGGCATCAGAATCATCATCAAGAGTCTGGAGCATCTCTGAAACTACAACTGTGATGAGCTGAGGATCATTGATGGTACAGAAACAGTCAGAAACGAACCTACAGCGTGCTCCAAGGTTATAAGCAGAATGCTTATCTCAGTTATTGCTGTGGTGCTGCTGACGTCTATTGGCATGATGCGGCTCTGTCAATATTACATATTAACATCGGAGGTTTGGGATGTAGCGAGGGTGCTAAGATCCTCACCTGAGCCTCGAGGCAATATGCGCAGTTAGTGATACTGCTGCAGTTGCAGAGTAGACTGAGGTTTAGGTGGCGCCTATGTATGTTTTAGATATATATGAATATGACGAGCGGCTACTAAAGACTGACCTTGTGGGCTGAGTAGACTGAGGTTTAGGTGGCACCTAAGTATGTAAATCAGATAGATATGAATATGACAAGCGGCTACTAAAAACTGACCTTGTGGGTTGAGTAGACTGAGGTTTAGGTGGCGCCTAAGGATGTTTAGATATATGTGAATATGACGAGCGGCTACTAAAGACTGACCGAGGGTGTGGGATGATAGCCCATTCTGAAATGGGGCACACTCTGAGCATTGTGAAATGGGGAGGGATGGGTAGGTATTATGGGACTGTGTACAGCATGCTGCTGCTGCTGTGGTGGTGGTTGCTGGTTGCGGTTGCTGGTGAGACTGGAGGAGACAGAGAGGGAGGAGGGTAACAATAGCTGCGACCACGAATGATGTTGTTGCTGCTGTTGACCAGTAAATGAAGTCAGTATAGTAGAGACAAAATTCAAGTGATACTTACATGCATCAACGTGCCCACGACTTCATACGGAGGAACATGTCACTATCAACATGCTCGACAACCAGATATTCATCATGGTGTTCAGGATCGGGGAACAAAAGGGCTCCTCGAATGAAGGACTTGAGCAGGATGATAATCGAGTCAACTCTGGGAACAGATTTGACTCGAATAAGCCTCAGGTCTCAATCAATCCTACAAGTACTGCCAATGATGCCAGCAGTATAAGGCTGAACAAGCGTGAATTGAAAAGTGCCGATGTCTGAAATATCACATTTAAACATTAGTATGAGCCGAACAAAGATGGTCCTTTCTGCGCTGAGTTGGATGAGGGCACAGTCGAAGCGCTGTAGAAACAACAATACTGCTAGGAACAAATGATGCTCCTGACAGTATCTATAAATGTTGAAAGGTCGCGCGTTGCCTAGTCTGCGTTACTTGAGGAGACAAGTGCGTTCGACCCTAAAGGGGAAGCGAGTACAGCAAAGTTCTAGAGGTATGCGCTTCAGCAAAGCGCGAGAAAGCGCAGGTGTGCGCAAGGCGCGGGAACATGCGCGCGTATTAGCGCGAAGCGTGGGAAAGCGCGCGCGTGTATGCGGAAAATGATAAAGACTAGACTCAAGTGATAATATAATGCAAGAAAAGAGAAGGGAGATCCAAAGTGTGGACAAATAGACTTCTGCTATATTCTGCTAAGTAGTAAGTAAGTGATAACTAGTAATTGGGAGGTAAAAGTCCGGTGTAGTGTAGTATGTACTGCTGGCGCTTATATAGCGCGCCTAAGCGCGCTCATGCGGAGCCGAAGCGCTACCGAGTAGGTATGTAAAAATATATATGAGTGAGAAACTATGATAAAAATAAAGGTGGAACTATGCTAATAAAGGAAATGGAAATATACGTACTAGGGAGCTTGGTGGACAGTGGATGGATGCATCTGAATGGCTGGCGCTATAGGGCGCGCAAGCGCGGGAAAGCGCGCGCGCGTATACATCGTGAAGCGCGGGAAGTTATGCGCGCATGGCGCGCGTTGTGCGGGAAAGCTGTGCCTCATATAGGAATCGCTATGGACAGTACACAGAGTGGTGCTGCGAGTTGGTGCTGTATACTCCCTAGTGGAAACTGCCATATCACGCCATGAGAGGCATGATTCTCTACAGCGCGACTGTCCATGGAATGACAGATTGCAGCGGAGGTGGTCTGTTGACTGCCTCCAGTCAACAGTATTCTTGTAATTAACCTTGAGGTAGTGATGCTCGTGGATCTGAATGATATACCATAAGTTAGTGTGATGAATTTAAACAAGAATCAACCAACATACCAAGAAATCAGCCAGTATGGTCACCCATCTCGTCAACTGGTACCCATAACTTGGCAGTGATGTGTTGATGAAATCAGAGAATTTCTTGCGGAAGCCTTGAAATGCGCGATCATGGATGCCCAGCCTCATCTCAATGTCCTGGATAGTAGAGCAACTTTGAGGAGAGCCGAGCTTGATGTGCCCATCGAAGGCGATGTGGCCAATGTCATCGCCTGAGTTGTCCATGGCATCACCCAAGGCCTGCAGGCGACAATGTTCGTCAAGGGCGTCTACACGTCCTCGCAAAAGCAAGGACGCGCATTTGTGGTGATCAACTCGAAGGATCTAATACAAGTGTATATTAACATATCAGCATGATAAATGAACGAACGTGTGTACCTGTTTAGCGACGTCTTTCCCATTTGAGCGAAGAACATAGGTCATTTTCAAGGGGCCATGGAGCTCCTCGTTAGGGTGTGTACTGTAATTACGCGCCACACCTTTCTGTGTGATATCCCGCCAAGCGTGAGTCCAAAGATGTGTCTTGGGGAAATTCCAGTCTGTCTTGAGATCTTCAACAGTGGAAGTCATAGCACATTCTACATAGTCCTGAGATCTAGTCAGTAAGGATGATTCAATGAAAGGAAAAATGATTACCTTGAGAGCAGCATCAAAAACAAGGAATTCAGCATCCAGCATTGCAAGTGTCTGCTCTGTATGCATGTCAAGTCCAATCAAGCTGTCCAGCTGCAGGTAGCTGCAAATGACACGAAGAATGTGAAAGCCTTCTGGACTAGCTCTGTGTGTCAAAATGGGGAGCGCTGCGTAGAATGCTTGCTTTATGTCACAACCCAATAACGAATTAACGCTGGGCAGAGACTAGGACTCAAACAACAGAATAATCACACAGAGGAGGTAGGCAGCAGGTATGTCTTGGTATTGCTCACTTGGAGATACAAGAGGTTTGAACTAAAGAACTACTGACTACGATGAGCTACCTATATACACATATTGAGACTGAGATCGAAACTGAGTATGAACTAACTAACCAATCAGAATAATTAAAGGTATTGTACAATTCTATATATAACTATGATGTCATAACATGCGTCGCAGCCGCAGTAAGACTCTGGAACATTCCAAGAGTATCGTGAAGCATGACGTCAACATCTTCGGCATTGTCCGATAGATCACGTGACTCTGGTAATTCTACAATAGATGCAACAATAGGAACTTCTTCAACAGTAAACATATTCTTAGGAACAGGCACTATGACTGGGCGCTTAAAGGATTTGGAATTAAGGAATGAATAATGATTTGTATTTGGAACTCGTGACATTACCCCCTCTCTAGGATGAGCGTCATCGTGAATGAAACTAGGACGAATAAACTTCTTGCGCCATTCCAAAAACTCTTGGGTTTCGAACACCGATTTGTTAATTTTGCGGGGATTCAATGCCTTCGGATTTTGCTGGTGAAATTCTTGAACTTTCAACCGTGCATTCTCAAGGTTTTCCTCAGGTTCCCATGTCGCTTCTTCTATCGGATATCCTTCCCATTCTATTAAGTATTGGAGTTTTGATCTGTGCAGTCTCGAGTCTAGGACTTTTCGTACTGTCCATTCGGAATCGCCTTCTGATAAGATCTCTGGTGGCGGACAATGATGTGGAGGTCTTTGGACTAAGGTCGAGGGGGAATGCGGAGTGAGTAATTCTACATGGAATACCGGATGAATCTGATATTTTGTTGGAAGATTCAGGCAGTAATTTACATCACCCATCTTCTCTAACACTTCAAATGGACCAAGTCGTTGATCAGAGAGTTTCTTATTTGGTCTTTTCTGACAGATATTTTTGGCGTTGAGCCAGACCAGATCTCCTTTCTTGAATTGTGGTGCGTCTTTTACTCCTTTATCATAGAATCTCTTCATTATTTGGAACATAAACCAGTCCTCGGAATAACACCAATCCATCCTCTACATTCCACTCTTCGACTCCTCTACGTAATTGTACCGTTGCTGCTTTTAGCGTTTGTAGCGCTTTAGCAACTTCGGGCTCTCGTTCTGTGCATTGCCTTATCTTTCTCAGCAATTGTTTTTCTCCTTGCACTAGAACTTGGCCTCTTTTAGCAGCTTTTACAGTAAAAAACTCTGGTTTTAACAAAATATGATCAGAATTGTCGTTTTCTACCCCCCCTCTGTGGTCTTCTCTCCGAGAAAGCTTATCGGCCTTATCATTGACTACACCAGGCTTATGTTGGAGTGTAAATTCATACTCCGCCAGGAACAAACTCCATCTGGCTTGCCTTCTTGTCAACTTTTGGCTCGTCATAAAGTACTCGAGATTTTTATGATCCGTCCAGATCTCCACATGATGAGGTTTTCCCTGCACATAGTGCCTCCACTCCTCCAACGCTTGAATGATTGCGAGTAACTCTTTATCATGGATGTCATAATTTCTTTCTGCATCGTTCATTGACTTAGAGTAATACGCTGAAGGTACAACAATTCAGATGGTGAGTCTGAACAATGTGTTGGGTCTTGCAGAACCTAGCTGCTATTCGACCCTAAAGGGTTTCTGGACCAGGCTCAAGGCTCAGAGTAGAGGAAATATCATAAAAACTTGCTGATCTCTCAGACTCATACTGGTAACTGGTGAAAAGATTCCTTGATTATGTAAGCTACAAAAGTGCCAACATAAGGTAAGGTAAAAACAGTCTCTACCAGCCCAGCCAGAAATGAATCCCTACAACGCCACGGGATGCCATAGGTCGTCTTCCATCAGTTGAGATAGAACCGCTCCTGTTGCGTAATCAGAAGCATCGGTTTCTATTTTCATCTTTTTCTCAATGTCAGGCATTACTAGGATCGGAGCTGATGTAAACCTTGACTTCAGTTCATCAAAAGCATCTTGCTGTTTCTCCGTCCAGTCCCATTTGGCATCTTTCCATAATAAATCATTCATCGGTCTGGCAATGTCCGAGAACCTGAAGATAAATCTTCTGTAGAAGTTGGCAAAACCCATAAATGCTTGTATATCTTTAACGCATTTAGGTACAGGCCATTTCATTACTCCTTCTACTTTCACAGGGTCCATTCAAACACCACCCTTCTCCACTATCAACCCGAGGAACTCGACTTCTGTCTGTTTGAAGCTACACTTTTCAGGCTTCAGATACAGATCATTCTCTTTTAGTCGTTTCAGTACCTCTCGTACAACTTTTTGGTGTTGCTCCCTATTGCCATTTGTGAACACGAGGATATCATCGATATAGACAACTACGGTCTTTCCATCAATTAAATCTCTGAATATCTCGTTCATCATGGTTTGAAACATGGCAGGGGAGTTTGTTAAACTGAAGTACATTACAGTTGGTTCGTGGTGACCAAACGGCGTTTTGAAGGCTGCCTTCCACTCATCTCCTTCTTTCATGCGAATATTATTGTACCCCATCTTACATCCATTTTGGAGTACATCGTGGCACCGGTTAAAGCATCAATCAAATCTTGAGATCTCGGTAGTGGATATGCATTTTTAACCGTCTTCTCATTGAGCTTTCTATAGTCCATTACCGGTCTTAACTTGCCATCTTTTTTGGCCACAAAGAAGAAAGGTGCTGCTACTGGAGATTGTGAATCTCTAATACGTCCAAGTGCAGTTTCGGCTTTTAACCAATCTTTCAAGGTGTCCATCTCCTTAGGTGACAGAGGATAAGGTTTCGCATTTGGCGGAAGATCGCCATCGTCTTTAAGATCTATCGCATGATCCCATTTCTTTCTTTCAGGAAAGTGCTTAGATTCTTCATCTGAGAAAACTCCCAGGTACTCGTGAAGCCAATCAGGAACCATTTCTTCGACCGATTTCTTCACCTTTGTGGCTTCTTCTGCGACCTTCTGCTCCGTAGCAACCGAAGCTTTATATTTGATCCATTTTCCAGGATACTCTTCATCTTCTATTTCCTCAACCGTTGCCCTCTTCATCGCCATGTCTTCTTCGTCATCCTCTTCTACAGGAATCAGATCTGGCACTTCTTCTATCTTTTTTTGTTCTTTTCTTTTTTCTCTATTTTTTTGTCTTTGTTCTTTTTTAGTAATACATTTAATCGGGCAATGAGAAAGTGCAAAACGTCCAGCGTTCCAATCTATTTCTGGGTTGTGATATCTTAGCCAGTCTATGCCAATAATAACATCATTGCTTCCTAAGTCCGTAACCATGAAGGCTGCTTGATCCTCAACATGGTCACTGATCTTTAGACCTAATTCAGCGTAATGAGTCATCGATCCAGTGGCATTTAATGAGCCATCAATATTTTTAACTGGAATGGGCCTTAATAATTTATGGCACTGGACATCATTCTTTTTTACAAATTTCTCACTAATAAATAGTGTTGATGCACCACAGTCCACAAGTGCTTTTACATCTGCTTGTCGATTCTTTCCCTTCAGCGTGATCGGAATGTAAAAATGCTCAGATTTTGATTTGATAAATACTTCTGACACATCCGAAAACGTAGATAGAATGGAGAAACAATTGTTCGGGTCTAAGTTTGCAGACTTTGACTTTGACCCCTCTAAAAACCCTTGCCTTCTTTAGCGGCCCAAGCTTTGAACCAATTTGGGATAGGGTCTTCTTCTTTTGGCACTGTAGTAGCCTTCACCTGCGCTTTTGGCGCGACTGCATCTTTGCAGTTTCTAGCTATGTGGCTTTCGCCACCGCAGCGGTAACACTTGAAAGATCCAGTCTTTCCTTGAGGTTTTGGAGCACCTCGCTGTCTGCTGGCGTCGACGTCCATAGCGTCACTTTCCCTGCTAGGACCAGGTTTGTATTCAGGAGTCCTGGGGCCTTGTTTAGGGGTCCACCAGGTGGTCTTCTTCTTGTCCGCATCTAGCTCTTCAAAGTTGCGTCAATTTGGATCGCATGTTCCACCAGTTTCTTCATGGTGTCTTTGTCTTTGTAAGAGACATGAGCGAGCTGTGTTTTGACACGGTCTTGAAGTCCCATTTTGAACTTCTGTCGCTGGTCGTAGTCGGAAAATGAAGTGTGTGCAGCCTTTTGTTTGAAAGCGGCTGCATACTCTGGAACCGAGGAAGATCCTTGTTTAAGGGTTTCCAGTTCTCTGATCGCTTTTCCTTCACGATCTTCCTGCCCCCACATGGCTTCTAAGTCTTCCAGGAATTTCTCCACGGTCAACTTCTCATCTCCGGTTTTTCCAAGTTTAGCAATGTAAGGTTGTGCCCATTTAGCTGCAGTTCCTTTCATAAATGAAAGCATTACTCCAATCCTTTGGCCTTCTTGGATATTAGGCCATTGCGCAGTGTATAGCGCTACTTGTGATACCCAGACCATTAGTTCTATGGAGTCTTTTTCTCCTATGAAGTCTTGGGGTTTGGCATATTTGATGGAGGGGGAAGAGTTTGATGAAAGTAGGCTAGCTCCTGCAGAGCCGAATGATGGTTGTTGAGACTGTATTTTTATAGTCTCGTCTTCTTGCATTTCTAAGCGTACGGCAAGAAGTCTGTTTGATTCTTCTAGAGCCGCATTCTTGGCTTCTAGTTCTGCGATCCTGATCCTGAAGCTGTCCGCTTGATTTGCAAGTGACAAGTGAATGTACTCGACGATTTCCTGTGGGGTAGATGGTAATACTACCACCGGTGCAGGTTGTTCTCATACAGGAGAGTTTGGTAATTCAGACATAGTGCCAGTTGTGTTCTGGAACCCGATTTACTGATGTCTGTTGAAGAGCTGCTCGTAAGGGCTCTTCCGGAAGGGAACGATGATGAAAAGAAGAAAGTTTATGTAAACAGAAAACTGAAGCGGTCCCCGATATCTGATCGGATTCAACCTCGTACTTCAGGGTCAAAGGGTTCTTTAATCAACCCAACTGATGCTTCTCTAATACTGACTAGAAAAGGTATGTAAACTATACTCGATCGAGTGGGAAAAACTAGGGACAATGCAATCTCCATTCTGAGGGTACAAGCCTAGGACAAGTTATCACTCTTCCAGCCGAAGCTTACAAGTGCGAGTCTCACTAGGGTATGTCTCTAAATCCTCGTAGGTCGAAAGCACGGTTTGTCATCTAGACAGTTCCGCTATTGACTCGAAATGAATGCCTATGTGCGTAAAGAAGAAAAGAATAGGTAATATGAAACTATAGTAACATTGAGCAGGCAGGGTTTTGGGCCAGCACTCAAAGTTGCAGTGACACGCCTAATGTCGTGAACACCTCCGTATACTGGTGGCTGTGGTAAGACAGGGCCTGGTATAGGACTACTAACTAGGAAGGATGATAGGTAGGAAATGTGCTCAAATGAGCAAAGGAATGAAATCAAAAGGTCGCGGCGGTTAAGCTGGGCAAAAGTATAACGGCTTTGTTTCGGCTGATGGTGTGAAGGGACTTCCAACACGATCAGGCAAAAGAAAGAGAGATGCGAGAGTGTAACACGAGAGTCAGAGTCTCCTATAGTTCAAACCTGATGTCACAACCCAATAACAAATTAATGCTGGGCAGAGACTAGGACTCAAACAACATAATAATCACACAGAGGAGGTAGGCAGCAGGTACGTCTTGGTATTGCTCACTTGGAGATACAAGAGGTTTGAACTAAAGAACTACTGACTACAATGAGCTACCTATATACACATATTGAAACTGAGATCGAAACTGAGTATGAACTAACTAACCAATCAGAATAATTAAAGGTATTGTACAATTCTATATATAACTATGATGTCATAACATGTGTTGCAGCCACAGTAAGACTCTGGAACATTCCAAGAGTATCGCGAAGCATGACGTCAACATCTTCGGCATTGTCCGATAGATCACGTGACTCTGGTAATTCTACAATAGATGCAATAATAGTGTCATATCCCGTATTCCGGACCTACATCCGATAATATTCCCACGCCTCATCCGGACCTTCGGATATCCTATCCATGTCTGCAGTCCTCTATCCATCCGGATCCCTGCACCTCCGCACATCCACATCCAGATCCCTTTACCTTCGCAGCTAGCCTGCATCGTTCACCCTTGTCCCATTGCCCTCATATTATATCTTGCATATCCACGCATCTCATCCGGACCACATCTGATCCAGTCCGATCCGATCCTATCCGATATACGATAAGCTTCTTGATTCATTTCCTGTGCATATAACATTAACACAGCCTATCCGGTATTCCTTGTTACCGGTACCTCGGTTATATCTATTACCGGTATGCTTACTGATCTGTTAACCTATGTTCATTTCCGACTCACATTTGTCAACCTTTGCATATGCTTCGTACATAGCCTCGGACTCTGCTTATTGATCCTTCCGTTATTTCTCTTAGTATATAAACTCGTGTATATGTCTTGTAGTACCTCAGTCTGAATATCATATTAGTCCTCGCACTAGTCTTCACTCTAAGTCCTCATATCAGTTCTAGTCTTCCAACTTAATTGATATCCATCTCAGGCCTAGGGAGTTTCTCCCTAGGCCAGAGCTCCACTCCTCCGCTCCTCCGCTCCTCCGCTCCTCCACTCATCCGAAGTTCCGGAAGTTCGTCCAGAACTTTCCCGCGGTCCTCCGGACCTATTCTGCTTCGGACTTTGTCCTTGCAGCCTTTCCTCTGTTTGCTTCTACTCAGGACAAGTCCTGAGTAGCCATTACACGTATCTGTATTAGGACGAAACCCCATTGTAATTTCCGGAAGTTCCTCCTGAACTTTCCCGCACTCATCCGGAAGTTACTTGTACCCGTCCGGAAAGTCCTTCCGAAGTTTCCCGCGCCTTTGGATGTCCTTTGGATGTCTTTGGATGTCTTCGGACTTTCCTCGGACACCAATCTGAAATTAAGGGCACATACTCGGGTAAGGGGCGCAGCGCACGAGCTGAAGCCAAGCCCCTCAGAATCAGTCCTACCCTTTGTGCATGGTCTTAACAAATAGGAACTTCTTCAACAGTAAACATATTCTTAGGAACAGGCGCTATGACTGGGCGCTTAAAGGATTTGGAATTAAGGAATGAATAATGATTTGTATTTGGAACTTGTGACACTTTATGATAGTTAGCCAAGCATATATCTATCTGACTCATTTGAACTTACCATGACCAAGTCGCGCTTTTTGTTGCCATCCGTAAATGCGACATGGATGACGGTCGTGAAATGATTGAGATCATGCCACTGAGGGAATTCCTCGACACTGAAAGTAGGTTTAGAGTGACGTCAATACAATACTGAAGAAGAAATAATGTATGATTTCTCAACTGCCACTTGGGCTTCTCGTCCAACATCATCAAGGATAGCCTTTAACTCTCCCAGCACATGATGCCCTCCCATACCGCTATGCACTGTGTGCAGCCTGTCAACACTCATTGCATCATGAGGGTCAGACTGCTCGACAATCCAGAGGAAGTTCTGAATGTAATGTATCAGTAGAATAGAATAGTAGAATTGAAACACATGACTTACAGCTACTGCGCGTAATCCTAGCGCTTTCAAAAGTGCCTCGCCTTGAGATTTGCTCTGTCGGTAAACATCGAGTGCAGCCTGTGCGTCTTTTGCGGACCTAATGGCGTGAGTCTTGGACAAATCGGAAAGTTCTTCGCGTGGTACGAGGCATACAGGGCACAGGCACTTGCACTGTGCACCGTGAATAAGAGACATCATGCACCTATTGATGATTGAAGGCTATGTGAGTCTAGTAGACATCAATAGCGGCGGACTCACTGTTCTTCGTAGTCTGCAGATAGTATTAGTATCACAGGGAATAACCAGCACAATTTTTTGTCATAGCACATGTATGAATATCCAGTCTTTGAATATTTATCGAGATTGGTGAAAAGCTTGATGAACGCTTCGTGCCATACAATGCGCTTGAAATTGATGTAACCTGGCTTCCCCTGCTCGGATGCTTCTTCGTCGATCTGCAATGTTATTAGCGTTATCGAATGGTATCACTGACAAGTGCTGACTCACGATTGGTAGCCAACCGACAACCCGACCACCGCCCATGCCCTCGCCATTTCGAATGTCGACAGGTAAATTCATGCAGTGAGCCATCACCGGATATCCTTTCATGGTGCCATGCGAAGACAACTTGGTCTTGTCTGCATATAGTATAAAGCAAAAGGGAGCAGCACCGTCAAGATTTGGTGGGAGATGAGACTGGATTACATAGACAGTTGATGCACATTAATATGTAAACACAAATATCAAACATAATAATAATGTACTTGGATATCCCACCACCGATCACCAGTCCACGGTTCATTGAAAAAGCACTCAAAGTCCGTGTCATTATGTTTGAAGACGCGCTGCGCGTCCCAAACAAAATGGGGTGCGAGTAGTGGGTTATCCAAAAGGTCGAGCGCCCAGTCCCATAGCGGCCTCGCATGTACCTCGAAAACCCGTTGCTCCTTCTTGTATGGTACAACAATTTCATGTTTGATAAACTATACAAAAACCTAAGCAGTCAGACAAGTGTCACGCGATTCAGGAATTAAGAAAAGCGCATACCAGTGTCAGCTCAGCCGCAGCATGATCCAATGCTGTGCAAAGGTCAGCTTCGTTCTTCAGGGTTACCTGAGTGTCGCCCTGCGCAATGCGAGCGATAAGGCTCAGTAGCCTGTCAACCTGACCCTTGTTGAGAGCAGCATTGAGCGCGATTTCAGAAAACTCGAAATCTCCGCATGATCGGAATGGGCGCCAAGGTGTTTCATCAACAGGAGGAGCCTGTGTCTCTGGTGTGACACCGAACTCCTCAAACCTTTGATAGAGCGGTTCACGGCCGCTATGAGGGTGGAATTCAATTTTGAAGTCTTGAGTGTGTTCGATATTCACTGCGGGCTGATGTGGGATGTTGGGACCAGGGTTACTGCCAGTGGCCATGCTAATATCGGATAATACTACATAATGATCATTTATTTGAATAACAAATGAAGAGAGAAGCACGCACCTGGGCTCCTAACACCCTCATCTCCAACATCAAAGTTGTTCGGACCAGCAAAAGAAGCTGAAAAGTATCACAAGAGTCAGAGTGAACAAATTGAGTTGGGATGAATGACAGTGTACCTTGTATTTGTGGTTCTGGATTTGCAGAGTCATCTGCATTGACGTGCGATGGGCCAGCCACTGGTTCCATGGCTATCATTTGTCGAGATTTCTTGCAGCGTGCTATTGCAGGCTGATCAATAAACATGTCTCAAATGAACAGGCCATTAGACTCACCTTTTTGTTGATCCTGCTCATATTCTTGATTGAATGCCTCTTTGGCCCCAGCATCACGCTGTAGGGATTCATTTCTGGCTGGGCTTGTAGAGACTGTTTTTACCTTACCTTATGTTGGCACTTTTGTAGCTTACATAATCAATCAATCTTTTCACCAGTTACCAGTATGAGTCAGAGTCCTCAGTAGTTTTTATGATATTTCCTCTCCTCTGAGCCTTGAGCCTGGTCCAGAAACCCTTTAGGGTCGAATAGCAGCTAGGTTCTGCAAGACCCAACACATTGTTCAGACTCACCATCTGAATTGTTGTACCTTCAACGCTGCTTGCACACTGATTTGTGCCACTTGAAGCCTTGGGCTTTGTACATATTGCCGCAATGTGGGCACTGAGACCCACTAGTCAGTGTTTTCTCAGTGTAATTATACTTACCTCTGCTTGAGTGATTCGGGGCCATGACTATTAGACAATATATATAACAATTTGTACACGTTGAGGTGAAGGAAAGAGCGAAGGATGAAAGGGACGAGGTAGAAGGGCGATAGAACGTGAGGCGTCTGACAAGACCACGTGATAAGATTCGTCACAAGGCTGATAAATGAATTAATAGGGCCTTACATTTTCTCCGCCGTCCTTAAAAGGCACTTTCAAGGCACCTTGTGATGCATGTGACCAGCCTCGTAAGCCAGCAGCATTATAATGGTGGTTTACTTTTTTCCGACAAGGTGCGACAGGATAGAACAGAGCTGCGAGAGGGTCGCAAGAGGATGGGGTGGAGCCTGTGGAGGTGCAAGAGGATGAGATGGAGGTGCAAGAGGGTGAGACAGAGGTACAACAGAGGTGCAACAGGGTGCAACAGAGGGTGCAACAGAGGTGCAACAGGGTGTGAGAGAATATGACAGAGGGTGCAACAGAGAATGCATCAGAGGATGCAATGGATGTATGAGAGGGGTGCGAGATGATGCACAGGATATCAATTAGTGTACTAAGAATTTGGGAATGATATGATCACATACTTGGAAGCAAAGCTATTGAAATGCACCTGCAAAACTACCGAGCTGACAAATATGTTGAATGGTACTCGTGTTAGTGGAGGAAGTAGCGTCTGGAAGGATTGGAGCATTGGAGGTATCTCCCACAATGGCTTGAAAGGGTTAATTTACTGGTGGCATTGCCACTCACTTGGAAGTATAAGGACTAGACAAATGTTAGGCCTCATAATAGTCAAATAATTTAGTGCTGCTGTGGTCTGGTTTGGTCTGGTTCAGAGGGTCTTGGACGAGAACCAAGAACCAGACCATAGTCCAGTTTCACAAGTAGCTGTGAGATTGATGTATCATTAGTGATGTGTACAGCCTAAATAGGCCAGGCCAAAGTCATGGCCTGGTGACGGCTTTGGCCTGGCCTGAGATTATGAAAAGCCAAAGCCGCCAGCTGAGGGCTCAGGTCATGGCTTATGTCATATACTGACTGTGCCTGCAGCATCCCAAACTACTTACTTGATGACCTGTTGACTGTACCTTTAACATATGGCTTCTATCTCACTTTGGCCTTTGAATCACTTTCCTTGTGTAATTCTATGGGCCAATATATTAGTATGCCAATTAATTACAGTGAGTTGCACATTCTTTCCAAGCTTAACACAATTCATTTTGGTGTTAGCAACCACTCCTTTGCAAGTTTCTTGTGATTTGCAAGCTCAGTGACCATCAGATTTTTTTTAAGACAAATGTATGCCTCCATGATGATATGTTTTTTGTATCTACCTTCTACTACTTGCCTCTGATGGCTGGAACTGTCCACACAGACAGTGATGATGAATGTCATGTGCGCCCAGTCTGACGAACTAAGCCCACTGCTATCTTCCTCCAACATTCTGAGAAGGTGGCTCTCCCATGTCTCCTCTTCCTCATTCTCCTCCTCGCCTTCTTTCCTCCTCCTGCTCTCATCCATTGTCTGTATTCATCTGAGCCACATCAGCAGTTGCTGATGTGGACTGGGCATCTGCACATGGTGTTTGTGGTGTTGGGAATGACATGGTGGAGCTTACCTGTGTCAATATCCCACAACCTGACTCCACTATCATCACTCCCGCTGACTGCCTTCTTCCCATTTGGAGACAACACTATGGTTCACACTTTAATTTATCCATCCTGCCAGTGGTCCATGTACATGGACCAAGACTCACTAATCCTCCATTTTCTGCTCTTGATTAAAATATGTTGTAGTTGCCTTACCATATCATGGAAGTAAGCATCGTGCAGCCACGTTGCATGTCATGAGTTCCAAATACAAACCATTATTTGTTCCTAAATTCTAAGTCTTTTAAGTGCCCAGTCACAGCAGCCTGTTCCTAAGAATATGTTTATGATAGAAGAAGTTCCTATTATTGCATCTATTGTAGAATTACTGAAGTTACATGATTTATCGGAAGATACTGAACAAGATGACCTCATGCCACGCAATACTCTTGGAATGTTCCAGAGTCTTACTGCGGCTGTGGCACATGTCATGACATCATAGTTATATATAGAATTATACTGATACTTTTAATTATTCTGATTGGTTAGTTAGTTTATACTCAGTTTCGATCTCAGTTTCAATATATGTATATACATAGGTAGCTTGTCATAGTCAGTAGTTCTTTAGTTCAAACCTCTTGTATCTCCAAGTGAGCAACCCAAGATGTACCTGCTGCCTACCTTCTTGTGGTGATCTTTCTTTGTTTGAGTATTAGTCTCTGCCCTGTGTTAATTCATTTAAGGGGTTGTGACACTACATCATTTACATCGCTAATCTTTACAACTCGCACATCAGGCATATCTACATGTTCAACTCACAATCAAAGCCTTGGGTGGCACATGTCACAAAGAAGCTGCCAATATTCTACACCCACTCTCAATAAATTCCCTACTTGAGCCATGGCTCAGGCCAAAGCCAGCTGTCATTTGCAGCTTTGGCCTGGCTTGGATTTTTTGCAGGCCAGAGCCGTCTGAAGCCAGGCCAGAACATTACTATGTATCATTTACTTGTACTGTAGTGAAACTGTGATACACAAATCACTCTGTCGTATAGCACCTGGTAATGTATCACTGCACTCAGTAGGCCCATACTATATGACTAATATTCTATGAGCCATTAAGGCATTCCACTTGCATTTCAAGATATAGATTTTGATTGTTTGAATCAATGCACATCTGTACCTTGCAATCCTGATTTTGATGAAAGTTATTTTTACTGATACTGCAGGAACACATGCCCAACATCTCCGCTCACTGAGCTTGACAATGAGCATGTACATCTTGCTCATTTCTCAAGCACTTTGTGTTAGACTTGTAGGCACATAAGCACAATAATTGGGACACAACATGAATACTATTTTCACTGATGCTGAATACAGGGATGCACAATAGTCCCCTCACTGGATGTCCTCTCCATTGACCTACCCACACTCAAGCTCTTCCCAGCACATCCTCTTACATGTCCATCACATTCTCTCATACCTCTGTTGTCTTCCTGCTTGTCTCTCCCTCATTTTCCTCCTCATCATCTTCCCTCCTGCTCTTGTCTATCATCCATACTTGTCTGAGCTACATTAGCAGTTGCCAATGTGTACTGGGCATTTGTGCATGGTGGGCACTCTGACCTGAGCTGTGGCCTGAGTACTGTAAATGTAAAATCACACTGGCAGGTATGGGTCAAGATATGAACTTGATCGCTTCTTAGTCCCATACTAAGTGGCACCCTGACTAGGACCCCAAAAAAACTTAGTCAACATATCGCTGTAGAGAATCTTGCCTCTCATGGTGTGATATGGTAGTTTTCACTAAGAAGTACATAGCACGAACTCATAGCATCACTCTGTGTACTATCCACAGTGATTCCTATATGATGCACAGCTTTCCCACGCAACACGCACCATTCCCGCACTTCGCAATGTATACGCGCGCGCGCTTTCCCGCGCTTGCGCGCCCTTTAGCGCCAGCCATCCAGATGCATCCATCCACTGTCCACCATGTTCTCTAGTGCGTATATTTCTATTTCTCTCATTGCATATTATTCCATCTTTATTTTTATCATGGACTCTCACATATATATATTTTTACATACCTACTTGGTAGCGCTTCGGCTCCGCATGACTGCGCTTAGGCGCGCTATATAAGCGCCAGCAGTACATACTATTACTTTACTGAACTTTCACCTCTCACTTTACCTAGTACTTACTACCTAGAAAGTCGCAATAGAACTCTATTCCTTTACATCTCGCACTCTTCTCTTATATTGCATTATATTATCACTTAAGCTTAGTCTCTCTACCATTTCCGCACGCGCGCGCGCTTTCCCGCGCTTCGCGCTAATACGCGCGCACGTTCCCACGCCTTCGTACCTTGCGCGCACCTGCGCTTTCTCGCGCTTCGCGTTCCCGCACATACCTCTAGATCTTCGCTGCACTTGCTTCCCCTTAAGGGTCGAACGCGCTTGCCACCTCAAGCATAGCAGACTAGGCAACACTCGACCTACGACATTTTTAGATACAGTTAGGAGCATCTTTTGTTCCTAGCAGTATTGTTGTTTCTACATCGCGCCCAACAGCGTCAACATCGCCCAAAAGGCAACTTTCCAATCCCCAAAACCAATAGAACAATATTCACTGTGTCATACATACTAGCTTTACATATAAAAAACCAACATCTCGAACAGTCTACGATGCCTGTAGACGAACTGAGCAGTACCCAAATAGCAAAAACAAGCCGACAAAAAAGAAATGCAGTGGATTATCGTCCGTCCAACAGGTCCATCCCAGACCTATGTATTGAGCGATCCAATGATACACTCACAAGTAGTGGATGAAAACACAGTGAGAGCCAAACTAGAGAAGTGTTTCTTTATCACACCCGCATCAGAAATAACTAGAGACACACTAACAACAGCCCTACTAGACTTTACTGTTCAAACACCCAGACTCACACCTCTATGCGTCGATATACTCCGTGCTGTCATCATACTCCTGTTCAAAGCCAATCATAATAAGAAAACAAACCTAATTGCCAACTCAATCAAAACGATACTATCAGACTCTACGACCCAACTAGAAGAAACCTTAAAAAGAAAAGAACTAAGTCTAGAACTAGAAAAAACTAACCTCATATCCCTCACAGCATGAGCTGAAGACGCGGCAGATGCAGTCACAAGCAGTATTAGCGAAGCCAAAAACATAATTGAACTACTGACACCAACCATAGACTCTCTACAGACAAAACTCAATGATGTAACCAAGAAATTAACAGAAATACCCCAAGTGCAACCTCAACCGCCAACCTCATATAGCGAGGCAGTTACCAGAACCCCATTACCCACCCCAGGACCAGCAGACCAAGCCATAGCCAGGGCAGCAACCCGCGCAAGACAAATTATGATCGATCTCACCCCAGGCAACCTTCTATTTCCACTAGGCACTAACCACGCAGATATAGTATCCAAGACCCGTGAAGTGCTAGGAAAAGTAAAACCCGATAACTTTACAAAAAATGATGACATCAAGGTGATAACCCAACTCCAGAATGGAGGATTAACCATCAAACTAACCATGAAAGCACTATCAGACTGGTTACGCTCTCCAGAAGGCAGAGCAGCATTAATGAAAGAACTCAACCTCCCAGCCAACTTCTGCGAACTAACCTTAGGTCTTGTCATCCAATACCTCCCAACTAACCTGCCCATAGATCGTCAAGACTTCCTAGACCTAATCACCAAGGAAAACCAGTTGAACAGGGAACACCTCTCAACCATATGCTGGATCAAACCCCCACACCGCCGACCAGCCTCTCAACTCTCCACTATGGGTACAACAATTCAGATGGTCATTCTGAACAATGTGTTGGGTCTTGCAGAACCTAGCTGCTATCCGACCCTAAAGGGTTTCTGGACCAGGCTCAGGCTCAGAGGAGAGGAAATATAATATAAACTTGCTGAGCACTCATACTCATAGTGAAACTGGTGAAAAGATGACTTGATTATGTAAGCTAAGGTGCAAACATAACTATAGGTAAAACAGCCTCTGCAAGCCCAGCCAGGAATCAGTCCCTACACCGCATTTGCAATGCTCCAAATCACCAATGCAGAAACGGTTAATTAATTGCTTTGCGATGAGCCCCTTCAGTGACAAATTCCGTATTATACGGGCCACCCGACCTCCATAATATCCCATATGAGACAGGCCAGCGGATTATGGGCCCATGTTGTGTATATTCTCAATGATGACAGGTGGGCCAGGACACATATTATTTCTGATGGAGATGGGTGGGCCCATGTATGCCAATGATATATATATCCTTGATGTTGATGGATGGGCCGGGGGAATATGATCATTCATGGAGATGGGTGGGCCCATCTGGGTAATATGTAGAGTAGGATATTATAGACAGCTGGGCTGAAGAGAGATGTAAGGCAAATATTGTTATATAGACGGGCAGGCTGATGGGGGTGTATTACATATATGGGTGGGCCGAGGTAGGGGAATATTACATAGATGGGTGGGCTGACGTGGGGTGTATTACATATACAGGTGGGCCGACATGGAAAGTATTACATATATGGGTGGGCCGACGAAAGGGATATCAAATAGACCGGTGGGCCGAGGGTGCAATAAAATATTTATTACATAGACAGGTGGGCCGAGGTGGGGTATAATTATATAGACGGGTGGGCCAATGTAGGATGTATTATATAGATGGGTTGGCCAACATAGGATGTATTACATAGATGGGTGGGCCAAGGTGGGGGAATTGTACATAGATGGGTACATATATGGGTGAGCCTAGATATGTTCCATCAAGACATACAGCTGATGTAGCCACCAGCGAATCAAACACATAGGATACATGTACACTATGAGTGCATATACCTACCATCAACCACCAAATCTAAACCCCTAAGCACAAAAACATGAATCGACCATGTGTGGCATTGACCAATAATCGAGGACTGAAGTGGAAAAACCCCACACCTGAACCCTGGTGTGCAACATATCCTATTTCTAAGCATGGACACCAGAAGCACAACACTCACAAAAATATATATGTCAAATTTTCAGTGCCAAACCCCAAACCAAGATGTACCAACCCCCAAACCCCAAAATTGTGGACTGCCGGGTCTCAGGGTTTGGGGTTTGGGGGTCCCAGCACTCGGAACTTGGGGAAATTTGGGGAGATCAATAAAATTTGATGTACAATTGAGTTGATTGACAAACACATTGACTTACTCATGTTTGAAATATATTTTTGTTTACACATACTGAGTTCCGAGTTCCGGACCCCCCAACCCCGAAACCCGAGACCCGGCAGTCCACAATTCCAGGGTTCAGGGGTTGGTAAAATGTGTATGAATATATGAAAGGTTGAATGAAACATTTTTGAAAGATGTCTCATATCAAATGTTAAGTCCCAAGTTTTGAATTTTGGGTTTCAGGACTCCGTGTTTTGGGACTCGGCACTCCCGAAACCCGGAAGTTGAAACTCAGGACTTGACATTTGATATGAGACATCTTTCAAAAATGTTTCATTCAACCTTTCATACATTCATACACATTTTACCAACTCCCGAACCCCGGAATTGTGGACTGCTGGGTCTTGTGTTTTGGGGTTCAGAGGTCCGGAACTCGGTATGTGTAAACAAAAATATATTTCAAACATGGGTAAGTCAATGTGTTTGTCAATCAACTCAATTGTAAATCAAATTTTATTGATCTCCCCAAATCTCCCCAAGTTCCGAGTGCCAGGACCCCCGAACCCCAAAACCCGAGACTGCTGGGTCTCGGGGTTCGGGGGTCCGGAACTCGGAACTCGGTATGTAGAACAAAAATATATTTGAAACATGGGTAAATCAATGTGTTTGTCAATCAACTCGATTGTAAATCAAATTGTATTGATCTCCCCAAATTTCCCAAGTTCCAAGTTCCGGGACCCCCAAACCCCGAAACCTGAGACCCGGTGTAGAGACTCGTGCATCTCATAGTGTGATATGGCGCTTTACACTAGGGAGTATACAGCACCAACTCGCAGCATCACTCTGTGTACCATCCACAGTGATTCCTATATGACGCGCAGCTTTCCCGCGCAACGCGCGCCATGCGCGCACCATTCCCGCGCTTCACGATGTATACGCGCGCGCGCGTTCCCACGCTTGCGCGCCCTATAGCGCCAGCCATCCAGATGCATCCATCCACTGTCCACCAAGCTCCCTAGTGCGTATATTTCCATTTCCTTTATTAGCATAGTTCCACCTTTATTTTTATCATAGTTTCTCACTCATATATATATTTACATACCTACTCGGTAGCGCTTCGGCTCCGCATGAGCGCGCTTAGGCGCGCTATATAAGCGCCAGCAGTACATACTATTATTTACCTTACTTTTCACCCAACTTTACCTAGTACTTACTACTTAGAAAGTCGCAGTAGAAATCTATTCATTAGCACAACACATCTCACATCCTTTATCTTGCTTATATCTTCACATAAGTTTAGTCTCTCTTATTTCCGCTTACACGCGCGCGCTTTCCCGCGCTTCGCGCTAATATGCGCGCGCATTCCCGCGCCTTCGTACCTTGCGCGCACCTGCGCTTTCTCGCGCTTCGCTGAAGCGCATACCTCTAGATCTCCGCTGCACCTGCTTCCCCTTTAGGGTCGAATGCACTTGCCATCTCAAGTATCGCAGACTAGGCAACGCATGACCTACAACTTTTTAGATACAGTCAGGAGCATTTCTTTGTTCCTCTCAGTATTGTTGTTTCTACACCGGCAGTCCACAATTTCGCGGTTCGGGGGTTGGTAAAATGTGTATGGATATATGAAAGGTTGATTGAAACATTTCTGAAAGATGTCTCATATCAAATGTCAAGTCCCAAGTTTTGATTTCCGGGTTTCAGGACTCCGGGCTTCGGGACTCAGCACTCTTGAAACCCGGAAATCAAAACTTGGGACTTGACATTTGATATGAGACATCTTTTAAAAATGTTTAAACCAACCCTTCATATATCCATACACATTGTACCAACCCCCAAACCCCAAAATTGTGGACTGCCGGGTTTCAGGGTTCGGGGGTCTGGGGGTCCCAGAACTCGGAACTCGGAATTTGGTATGTAAGACAACAAAAATATCTTTCAGGGTTCAGGGGTTAGTGAAATGTTTATAGATATACGTAGGTTAATTCAAACATGTCTGAAAAATTTCGTTCATCTCAAATGTCAAATCCTGAGTTCTGGGCTTCAGGACTCGGCACCCGGCACCCAGCAGTCAGGGTTGTGGGTTTGGCACTGAAAATTTGACATTCAGGTGTTCAGGTTTCAGGTGATATCTAAATCAACAACTTCGAGTTCTGCCAAAGCGTGAAACTTGAAACCCAGTGTGCAACACGTTGATTTTTCATTTATATCACACAAATCATCGAGTTCCAAGTGCCGAGGGCTGAGACCCGAAGCCCGAGATCTGCAAATATGTACACAACATGTCCATTTTTCACTCACTGCACAAATCACCAAGTTTCAAGTGCCAAAGTGTGAAACTTGAAACCCAGTGTGCAACATGTCCATTTTTCATGTACATTACACAATTCATTGAGTTCCGAGTGCCAAGTGCTGAAACCCGAAGCCCAAGACCTGAAAATATGTATATAACATTTCCATTTTTCATTTGTTGCACAAATCACCGAGTTTCGAGTGCCAAAGCGTGAAACTTGAAACCCAGTGTGCAACATGTTGATGTTTCATTTATATCACACAAATCATCGAGTTCCGAGTGCCAAGGGCCAAACACCAAACCCCAAGACCCGAAAATATGTACACAACATGTCCATTTTTCATGTACATTACACAATTCATTGAGTTCCGAGTGCCAAGGGCCAAGACCCGAACCCCAAGACCTGAAAATATGTATGCAACATTTCCATTTTTCACTTGTTGCACAAATCACCGAGTTTCAAGTGCCGAAACCCGAAACTCAAAACCCGGTGTGCAACATGTTCATTGTTCATTTACATTACACAGATCATTGAGTGCCAAGGGCCGAATCCTAAAACCCGAAGCCCAAAAACATGTATGCCACATGCCCATCTACTCATTGCACAAATCACCAAGTGTCGAGTGCCGAAACCCGAAACCCAGTACTTCAAATGGACATGGATTCTATATTTGTATGTATTATCCATTGGTGTAGGGTTGAAATAACTTGGGAATTGTATTTGTCAGTGCTCGGTACTCGGTAGTTGGTAGTTGGTGGTCAGTAGTCAATATAGGCAAATGATAATGAAAAATGAAGGTTGTAGTCCGAGTCTAGGGGAGTGTATTGGTAGTCTTTTCTTGTCTATCAGTTACCATTTAACTGAGATGTAAGCTAAAGAAATCTGAAACATCGGTGATAATGAAAAATGAAAGTTATTATTATGTTTAAGTTCCTGAACAAAAGTTGTAGTCCAAGCCAAGGTGAGTGTATTGGTAGTTTTTTCTTGTCAATTGGTTATCTCGTTACTCGGTACTCGGTATAAGGGAATCAGTACTCGGTATTTGGTTCTGATACTCAATACCTGAGAATCAGTAGTCGGGTACTTGGTACTTGGTTCTAATTCTCGGTACCTGGGAATCAATAGTTGGGTACTCCAGCCAATAGTCCTGAGTCCCGAGTACTGATACTTGGTATTTGGTAGTCAGGTTTGGAACTTGGGTCTTGGTTTGGTTATCATTTGACTGAGATATTGGTAGGCAATATTGGCACTCGGAGCTCAAATACTGACTATCAACTATCAAGTGTCGGGACTTGGTAATTGGTAGTTGAGACTTGGTGCTTAAATGGATATTGCATATATACATAAAAATACAAAATATGTTCCTATGTGTTTATTTCTAGGTGAATAGACTTTGGAATTATATCTCAATCATCTATTCAACAATAGAAACAATATATCAGAA